TTGTTTTTCATCTTTTTTTTTTTTTTTAACAGTAGTGCCAACTGAATGAAGTTATTTCTCTGCCTAATTCTTATCAAAAATAGGAGATTTTTCTCCTTCTTTTAAGATGACTATTTCATACTAGATTGGACTAGAGAACTGAGGCAATTAGGCAGTTTGGAGTAAAAATAACTTTCACTTTAAAATCTTAAAAGAATCATCATAAAAATACTATTTGGATAATTGTTTCAATTGCTCCAATGCCCAAATGGCTGTCAGACAAATCGATTCAGTTCAAAAGAAATTTGCTGAGCATCTCCTGGAGACGCCTAAGAGATAGGGAAGCTTCTTTAAAATTAACTGCAGAGCTTTGCAGTTAGTCATCGGATTAAAAGTGGCTGATACTGGCATGGAGGGTGGGGATATGTGCCTGAAGGAAACGGCTTGAGGTCCCAAGAATGGAGAAGAAATAACCAGAAGAAAGGGAGGAAGGCATGGCGATGAGCAAAAGGAGGAAAAAAAAAAAAAAAAGGCATTGGCCCGGCTTAGGGTTAAAAAAAAACCAGGACTCTAACAAAAAGGGAGAAAGAAAGTTCTAGAAATTCATGTGCAATTTTCTCACAAGCAAAAGCAAAGGTTACAGATATTTTACCTCCCTCTTTAGCTAACACTGAGTTATAAGTGAGGTTAGATTCAGGAATTACCGTCTCTCCGCGCATCCGCTATCACCTTAGCTGCAGACTTGCTCATCACGTGCACGATGTAGAGGGGACAGTTGGCAGCACTGGCTATGGTGATGGCTCTCAGCGTGGCCTCTGCCTCCACTGCTTCTGGGCGGCACAACTCATGGCCCTCAGGGCCTGTTATCCCCAATGCCAACATCTTCTTTGCTCCCTAAAAAGACAGCAAGAATGTAAAAAGACAGCAGGAACGTGTACGTGCACAAAGAAGGTTTACTAATGACAAACATCATTATTTTGTCATAAATTAAATACTCTGCTAGGCTTTTAGGTTTGTTAAGTATAGGTGTGTGTGTATGTGAATGTGTTTGTGTGTGTACAGTGTGTGTATGTGGTAAAATTTTTTAATATTTTGATCATATGTTAATTTCCATATGCATATTCAACCGTCAAATTCTTTCAGTTGAAAAGGTGAAAAAGATACGAGGTTAGTTCTAATCACATTCTTTGAAAAGCAATGTCCATATTTAAGACTTAATATTGATTCAGACAAACAGAATAGAATATTATAGATCCTTGTTGCAGTGACTCTTTGTAATTTACTAGATAATTAGTTCTACTGTGTTTACTGAATCCACAGTATTCACTGGTGCCCCAGCCTGACCCACTAAATGATATTGACCAGTAATTTTCCCTCTCCAAAATTTTATGTTTTTTTTTAAAAAAGACAGGA